AAGAAAGCAACTTGTTTTTAACAATACCGGATAACTTCAAAGATAACACTTCACCTGTAATTTCATATACCTACATCAAACATATGAATCAAAAATTTCCACCCTCAGGGATATAAAATCCAAACCTCCCGATTGCTCTTGTGCTTCGTCCAAATACAAATATAGTCCCGCTTGCCATGTTATCACTCGAGACCTTTTCATCGTAAACAATGATCAACTTATTGGAGAGTTGTTAGTCAAATGCCCGAAATATCGACTTCCCCAGCTAATCAAGTGGAAGAAGAATTTCTGGTTACTCATTGATGAAGTTGAGAACTATGTCAGAAAATTGGTAAAGCGCGAGCCAGTTGAATCAAAACTAGACACTTTATCGGAATGAATGCTGATCGACCATGCAATCAGAAGCGCATTCAAACTCTATGATGTACAATGAGCACATGGGTTTCTGATCCATTCAAGAAGCTCGAGGATGTGGATGACTTATCCTCTCTTCACGACAAATATGTTGTTACAGTAGGCAAAATCTCAAACAATATTGTTTTTATATGCACAAATCATTACTTGGAATGTCCCATTAAAGAACTTTGTGGAGAGTTGTCTCATTGGTAATCATACATCTTCTTATTTTTATATTGGAAATCACAGCAAAACTGGATATCCCATATATACCTCTACATCATTCTCGTAAGAGGAGGTTTTAGAAAATCACAAAAGCGTCAATATCTCCTTTGTTTTTAACATCAATAAGGATGATGAAGATCTCCTATCTCATACTGAATACCTAAATTTGAAAATGATAACATCAAAATGCTGGACTTTTTGACCTACAACATATTTGTTGAGTAAGGTGGATTGATATTTCAACAGACAGTCGGTATTCCAATGGGTACTAATTGTGCACCACATTTGGCCGATTTGTTTTTTAACCACATTTCTATGAGTTCTTACATCTCATATATCCCAGTGAACTTGATCTTAAGGATAATACCGAAAGTAGAAGGTGTGCTTCATATTTAGATCTTTTCCACGTCAATGTGCACTTCAAAGTACTAATTGTGGTTTTAAAACTATAAAATGAAAATAAGGAATTACACTACAATATACAATCTAATTGGTTGTCTTATTGTGTATGAAAAATACATTTTCAAAGTTCTTCTGTGGTCTTTCAAACTTTTAAATGGCCAATTTAATTATAAATGTATCAATTGAAATAGCATGTCCTGAAAGGAAACATTCTGTTAATTGTTAATTTTAAGTTGAAACGTTCGTAGAAAATAATTTAGTTTTATAGACTTGTTGTACATGTAGATCACAAGGTATACATATATAAGTTAAAAGTAAAAACAACTTTTTCTACAAGGGTGGCGAAGTCTGTTCAGAATAAAGACACACAGTTGGTATATTAAAGCTATAACGTACTTAGCACTCTGTAATTTTGAACATTCTTCGAAACCAAATTTTAATCAACACAGCTTAGTTTGTTTTTCGTCTGTAGTATATTAGATTCATTAGGGTTCATGTTTTAAGATGTTGTAGCGGTAGTAGCTAAAACGCAATCTTATGCAAATGAGCTGATCAATTTATTCGTGCAAACAGTTAGCTTTCTTGTTTTTGGAAAGACATTCTTACAAAGTTTCAGAAAACCTTTGTAGGCGTTTTCCCATAAATTGTTATAACGACGATTTTGATTATTTTGGGGAATTATGTAAGATAATGGGGGTATCCGTTTTGTCTTTGATAGTTTAGGTCGATCACTAGTGAACTTTGGCGATAAGTGCCGCAAGGTTCGACGGATATATAAATACGCAGCTACATTATATTGGAACGCTTATTCATAATTTCAAATAGTCTCACAAAACACATTCAGCTTATACGGTTTGTGAGTGTCCATTAGCAAGACAAAGTCTCTAACCATCATGTCAATCAAGCCTCCGTTTTTTGTTGCAGTCATTTTTTCAGACTATGATCCTCTTTGCAAAAACATGATTTTTAAATTGCGTACTGGACATGAGCTATACTGAATTGGCACTGTTATTCCTGCTTCTCTCTTTCTGTCACACACTGTATAATAAAACAACAAATCAACAATTTTATTATAGTTTGGCTAATTTACAAAAGGACAAGCTATGAAATGAAAAAGTGAGATTTGTTTGAACAAACTGATTTGAGTATAAAGTTGAAGGTTTCAAACTGTTTCTACTCTCAGTTTGTTACCTGGGGTATAAATAAAATGTGATCAAGCATAACTTGAATATGATAGCCAATGACCAAACCATAAAAACCAGTGAAATTGGTTTTCCAAAATGGTTTTAGTTCGGGATTAACAAATAAGAATATATCTTAGGGTTTTGAACTATTTTCAAACTGGTTACAAAAACTAATAATCATGATATATTTCATTAAACTTCTTTACAACAAAGACTGTTTTCACAGTTACATTTCGACTGCAGCCAGGAAGCTACCTCTAATTCACAAAATAGCACATCAGAAAGGAATAAACATACAGTGGTTGCTTCTTATCTATCATGTTGTAATGTTATCTATCGGGAGCGACTGAGGGATGGGTAAAAACATTCCTATGTTAACTTAATTAAGGATATTACACAAATCCTACAAGATCATGACTAGTTCAGACTGGCCTAAGAATTAAAAAAAAAACACATTTAAAGGTTATATAAAACAAGTTCTAAAAACTACTAAATTTGATTCATAATAAGATGCAAAAAAAATATGATGAAAAAAGAAAACTTTATATAAGAACCTTAAACAAAATTTAATTTTAAAAGACTTTTTATAAACACCAAACTTTACATATAGAATATAAATAACAAAAATAAGAATTAGTGACCATAATTTTAATACAGAAAAAGGGAGACATTCAAATATGAGAGTCCTAGAGAGCAGAGATTATGCCTTATTTGTAACATATTAGAAGTTGAGAAACATTTTTTTATTAGATTGTGAATTAAATAGAGAGCTGACACAACTTTTTTGATAATTTGGAAATAAAGTTTTCTGTTCAAGATTAGTCTGATGAAGAAAAGGTGATTTGTATGCTCAATCCATCAACAACATCACAAGTATATAAATTGGGGTCCTACATTAAAAAGTCATTAGAAGTGAGGACAATGGACTCTCATAATTGTACATAATTTAAAAATATATCTATTTATTAGCGTATGGTATACTCAATAAACAAAGAGTCCAATACACAGCTTGGTTATCATTTTATAGAAGGAATGTTTGATGATATGCATAAAAAAAGTATACAGGTAAACGTTAAGAAAACCGAAGTAAAGTACTATCCATTGCCTAATTTTGTTTCTGTCAAATTCTTGTAAGGATCAACAGGGGCGGAACCAGAAAATTTTCAGGGGGTATCACCAAAACGAACTTTCAAAATATTCCATTTTTTTGGTTGACATCGGGTCATTATAGGTAGAAAAAAAACCAAATAGTAACACATGGTTTACAAAATTGATTCTAGATTTATTTTTCTTTGACCGCCTCTTGGTCTTTTTGTAGCGTGCTCCCCTCGAGTGCGGGAAGTTGTGGGTTCGAACCCCAGCCGGGTAAAACCAAAGACTTGGAAATACGTCTTTGCTGCTTGTCCACTAGGCACGCGGCATTTAGGGGTAACAGCATAGACTGGTCGACTCGGAGTCAGAATATTTGTCCGCATAGGCTGACATGTCTATCTGTGGACTGTTTCCTTGTGAACAAAGCACGTTAAGAATCAGGTTTAGTGTGTCGGTTCAGTACAAAGCAGGGTTTATACTCTGATCATATCACATTATTATGATGCCCGAAAAGTGTTAACTATTATATCAAGGTATTTTCATCAGTGCTAATCCATTTACAGGAACATGATGTAACTATTTAAACGCTCACATTCGGAAATGGTTATTATCATGCAGACAATTTACGAATGACAATGATGCATTTGGATGATCAAACTAGATGCATTTCTTAATTCTTTCAGTTGCTGACCCTGGGCAATACCGGTATTTCTTTTGTATTTTACCAAAAAGAAAGCTCACTTTGCTTAACACCAAAAACAGTAATAGGTTTAAGAGCCATGACATGCTATGTCTATACTCTGATAAGGGGGCATTTTCTATATATAATATCTGGTAGTGATCGCTGTAGCAGGTGACTGTTTTCTGCTTCATTATATGGATTATACTGAAATTGTATTTGTGTATATGTGTGTGTGTGTGTGTATGTGTGTGTGTGTGTGTGGGGGGGGGGGGGGTGATTCTAAAAGTGGAAAGAAAAAAAAGATCGGAGTTTTGCTTTTTGAAATTTCAAAACCGCAAATAGTCAATAGATGTCTATGCATGTCAATCTTTTATGTTAGGTTGCTGACCCGCTGACTTTTAACTAATTATCTCCTTATTCATATCTTCAATATTAGTATTTAGTATGATAGAAGATTTGGCTACTTCCTCCTCTCCTATTTGATATGGAACCACACCCTTTTTTATAGTTCCTTGATCCACGACTGATTAAACTAAGCGAACTAAAATATGCTTCTGTGATTTAACTCTTCCGTTTGAACAATTCATAAAACAAATATAACAATTGCTACTATATAAATGTTAGAAATTACAAGAATTTAATATGTTATGCATTGATGGGGTCATGGCATATTTAAGAAACTGAGTAAATTAGAAATATTTAAATTTAAACAAAGAACAAAAAAGGTCTACGCTGTGAATTTTTAAGGAAAAGGGCAACCAACGCATACTGTTTACACAAGTAAGAGTCACATGAGTATAGAACTATAGTCACATATACTTTTCCAGTCTTGTATTGAGGAAGGGTGTCTGTTTTAAACACAATCACGTATGAACGAAATGCATTCAGTAAATGTATTATCCGGTCTTCAAACAGTGCAAAACACATTTATTTTATTGTGTTAACCCTTTCGACCCTCTTTATTATGCCCGCTAAACCTAGACTATTGATTACATGTTAAATACTAGTATGCTAACGTCTTAAATGTAGCTGAAATGTTTTGATATTTGACTTGTAAAAGCAACTGCTAAAAGTCCACATGGAGGTAGAACATTTTTTTATTTATTTGCCAGCCATCAGATCTTGGTTTCATCCGAGTAAACAGCACGTCAGTATACTTTGTTAAGATGTGATAGTACTTTATATTTCTATCAGCGATAGTGAAACGAAAGTAAAGCTGAACTATATATCATTAGGTTATATGCATGTGGAGAATTTAATTTACTAGTAAGTATTTCTATGAAAATAAAGTAAAAAAATATCACGAGATCTAGAGTGATTGTGTTTTCAAAAGCATCATGTTTCTTACCATTTTAAGGAAAAGGGCAATTTACGTCATCCTCTTGTACTTTTAGAAATTAAATATGCACATGAAGATAATCTTCTAGTACTCGAACTCCAAAATGCAATATATACTTGACATTTGATAACTTCTAGCTTTACCTCGTTCGTGATGATTATTTATAATTTTTTCTTTCAGTTTGATAGTATAACATGTATAACATGTATAAATAGAAACTGGTATTTACCGAAAGTCAATATTCATATTGTAAACATATATATATATATAGTACTTATAAACCAAATGTATTTTGATATTGATTAAGAAGATTATATAGAACATTATCTTTCCTATATCATGAGTATTTGTACAGTTTGAATTATGATTACATTGAACGTACATAGCTGAATCTGAGAATATATTTTGAGAAAAATTCATGTTGTACTCTTGAATAATAATAGTATACATGTATTCTTGAATAATAATAGTATACATGTATTGCATACCTTTGAATAATACGGTAGATAATATGCAATTACGGCCCTCTGAGGAGAGGGGTATCCAAATTGTCACAACCCTCCTTAGCAGGGTTGATAATTTTGGATATCTCCCGACTCATAGGACCATACCGACCAAATAGATGGCCTCACCGGCGGTGAATAATAGGGTTATTATATATATCCGAAAATATCCGAATTAATTCACACCACTTTATCTTTTATAATTCAATTATCAGGTATAATGATATGCATTTAAGGGCCCCCAAAATATACATATCTATAATGTTTTAATTAATTTAACACTTTTTAATGTAATGCCAATTTTATGTGGTGGGCACATTTTACAATAACCGCGCAGTATTATGGAAACATAACGGTCCTACATCTATAAACGACAGGAGACTTAAAATTGTCGTATGCTTGCTTTGTTTTTAGCTTGTATTTATTTATGTTTTTATATGTTATTTGTCGCACACTTGCCTTGAAATTTAATTGCAACAAAACTGAAGTAAAATAAAATGAATACTCAATACAACAAATAACGTTTAAGCTTTAAAGAAATCCCATAAAAAATCTGATTAAAATACAGATCTATCGGAACTCGCTTACTCGTCGAAGCAGCCTTATGAGCATAACGGAATCAAAGATCTATATTTTAATCAGATTATCTTATAAAAATAAAGAAACTAGCACCCAAAAGGTAAGAACATTGAATCCTTGACAATTGTAAACAGAAAAGAAGACACAAAGGATCTATTGAACCAGGGTTACTATTGGTAAAGTTGATGTCATCCTTTCAAAAGTTGTTTGGACACCATCATGATATATGGTTGACCGTTATGGAAAATATGTGTGTCAGATGGCCACGGATATGTTTCAAGATATGATAAGCTTTGATATGATACCAAAGAGACATTCAAACTCATAAGTCGAAAATAAAACTGACAACGCCATGGCTAAAAAAGAAAAATACAAACAGACAAACAACAGTACACAAAATACAACATAGAAAAAACCAAAGACAGAGCAACACGAACCCCACCAAAACGGGGGGGGGGGGGGGGGGGGGGGGGGAGGGGGGAGGATCTCAGGTGTTCCGGAAGGGTAAGCAGATCCTGGTCCACATGTGGCACCAGTCGTGTTGCTCATGCAATTACAAACCCGGTGATATGCCTAATTCGGTATTTCACATTAGAGGGAAAGGGGAAGGTCTGCTTACTGGCCCTTCGCAAGCAGCGGACTCAGTCAAACACGCCTTAATGTAAAGGGTGTACAAGACTTTTCTTCACGGTGATATAGTATCTCTTTTTTTTTTTTTTTTTTACTTTTTTCTTCTAATAACTGTTGCAGCAGAGATGCAAATCAAAAAATATCATCGGCATTGTTAAGGCCGTACAGAGCCCTATAGCTGTTTAAATCTTCGTCCTTTTGTCTTTTTTGATAGTTGTCGCATACCAAGTCTCATTATTTTTATACGTATGAACATGTACCCAATATCTCTCTTCATTCGAAGAAGAGTTTTTCCATAGACCCTAGCACGGCGGATCGTAATCATTAAACCTATTTTTCCAGCAAAGATGTATATATTAAAAAACAAAACTTCACTAATGCAATACCATCTGAACTTATAAAACTACAAACCTAGTCCCATTCTTTTTTTTAAGTTACAAAGACAACACAAAGAAGAAAGTCATCCCATTCTTCACAGTTAATTGCGCTTTATTTTGTCTAAGATTTATCCCCTCCTTATTATAAAACACGACCCACAAAAGTTTTACCACATAATTTTCCGCTTGTTTGACGATAATTTATTTTTTTTTAAATGTAGGACACCTTTAATCAATCTGAGCTGCTTAGTTGTCTTACTTTGTATGTAGATCGCCGAAATTACTGAAAAGCAATAGTTTATTTAAAAAGTTTTCTAACCAAATTACAAAACAGCGTTACTTCAAAAGTAATTTAAAGTAATTAGTAGAAGTTATGTACAAGCAGCGTAACACAGGACAATTATGACTTTTCACTTTTAAAAAATAAACTTAACAATAAAAATTAGTTTTTACTTTGATAGTACTATGGACGGTTAGAATGTACATTTAAAGAAAAACGGATTTATATTTGAAAAAAACTTTTAAGTCGTAATTTGCACTCAAGAGAAAGATGCAAAAACCCCAAAAACCAAAGAAACGTGAAGATGAAATCGGATCGAAACGCTATAATTGGAAAGACTGGGAAAAGAAGCACAATCAAATGACTGGATTAAGTTTTAATAGATTGTTTGATGTGTACCAAAGAAATGAAAATGTACGTGTTCGCAATTCAACTGAGATTGAAAGCATTCAGAAAGAGATAGAGAAAGTTGCAAGAACTAACCGTAAACAGGTAGATGCGTTGCGAGAAGATTACCAGGTCATGATGGCATATGCTTATGTTTACAAACTCCATTCGATAAGTCAGAATCCAGACAATGATGAATTACCATTAATGAGGAAACGTGTGAAAGTCCCTAAACCAGCTCTGTCTAAGCCAAACGACCCAGACCTTCAAGAACTACCGGAAGACATATTAAGTTATTATGATGAAAGGCCAAAATCGTTTCGCTTTCCGCCAGTGACACGGAAATGGCGACCTGCATCCTTCAGTGGTAACGCACATGAAACGGAACCATCGGAGTCTTGGATAAACGATCCCTACCCAACATTTAAAGCAGAGGACATAGCTGCTCTTCAGACAGACACACGATCTGCAAAAAATAATGAAGGTTCCAACCAAAATGTAAGGCTGCCTCCGATTGGAACTCCAACACTAAAACTATCAAACTGGGAAAATTTTGGTAACCAAAGATTACACAATCAAAACAGAAAACCAGTGAGAAATGCAATGTCAGAACCACCATCAAGATGGCGGGGCAGAGACACACAAGTCAGCAAAGCACAGAAAAATCGTCCGAAGTCGTATGTACCAGTCACGGGAATTGCCTGTAAAACACAAGTTAATACAAAACGATTTTTTGAAAATGAAGCAAAGAAAGCGTTGCCAAAATTTACAGCAACTCATAGACGGGTTCAGGAATCGCAAAGAATTCTTCGGAATATTTCAAATCCTATGAATGATATTATTGACTCTAAGAAAACAACTTCTGCTATTTTAAAAGACTATAGACGTAAACAAAATGAACTTCAGGTCAAAAGGGGTCCAATAAAGGTACCACAAATGGAACAGAAAACAGATACGCCGAAGGCTAAAATGTTTCAAAATTGGATAACGGGAAACAAAAATCAGTGATTAAAATGGAAAAAATGGTGATTAATTATTTCATTGTTAATTGTGATTTATTAAACTTTATTACTTAGACATGTAACAATGTTGCATTTTACCAACAGGATCATATCCGTTGATTTCTTTTCTTTTCAAGGGAAAATTTGGACTGCAAGAACGGCTCGTATAGTGAATATAGAAGCTTTGTAAAATTATACTTTAAACAAAATCGAGACAGTGGATAACAAGGGATGTATACCGACACTTCTATTCTCGATTCATCAGTTGACTGGTGAGTCCGAAAAAGAGTAGACCTTGCAATATTAACGTGAAAATGTCTATATATTATACCTGTTATCAAAATTGTGTGTTTTTTGAAATAGAAATGTATACGTGTAAATATATTTAGTCTTGCATTCAGTATTCATAGAAGAATAAAATGCATTAGACGCAGAGTGCTGCACCGATATTTAGACGTCTCAAATATATTAATCACTGCTGCTTATTGATAAAAAAAAATCTAGTCAAATCATAATAGAGACATATATAATATATCAAAATTGGCAACTCATTTAATTTGCATATCATATATATATATATTACAAGGGACTTAACTCAGCCGTGGTATCAGTGATGATAATTGTTCTGTTCAATTTATTGTTTACTTGTATGTATATGTTCATTTGTAATTGTCATTTGATGATAGTCCAATGTCTGGACTTTATTTCAATAAAAATTACTTACTTACTTACTTACTTACTTACTTACTTACTTACTTACTTACTTACTTACTTACTTACTTACTTACTTACTTACTTACTTACTTACTTACTTACTTACTTACTTACTTACTTACTTACTTACTTACTTACTTACTTACTTACTTACTTACTTACTCTATTACACGGCAATGACATTTTTCAAACTCTAAGTGTTCCTGGGCTAAAAGCATATGGTCATCCATCCCTTGGTTTTTTTCCGATAGGCAGTAAATCCCTTGACAAAATGGAGCGTCCGTTTGGTTGTGCGGGATGTATACATTTGTAACCACGTCCTGTCAGAATCGAAACGTTTTAAAAAAAAAACTCCAAGAAGCATGAAGCAATTCTTTGAGGGGTCCGTAGGTGGCCTGTCGAAAGGATAAATATCAGTCTTTTGTTTTCTAGTGGCATTTTAAATTTCCCGCCCTTCATCCCAGTCGACCCCTTTTACCGGATCTACCTATTGTATTAATTTTTTAACTCTCGTGCTAATCATGTATGAACTATTTGCCACTGGATGCAAACAATAATCAATCAATCATTTTCCAGACTATATTTTCACGTTTTGACACATTCCTTTCTTGTAAATTTTTACCTATATGGTTTAAAATGTTAAAAGTTGAAATTCATAGTTCTTGAAATCTTTTTCCCCCTGGTGGTCCTTGAAGACAATTTGCTGGTCCTTGCTATTATTTCTGGCTGCAATCATTATATAAACTAAAAAATTACTTACACTTAATTTGGATTCACTTCAAGTGTCATATACTGCGTTTGAGGATTCATTGAAAAACTTTTATAAATGCAACTTGAGCATATTAAATCTAATAACACAGGTAAACTCCGATTTTATAGTAAAATTTCCTCATCATATGACTTAAAAGCTTACCTAATAGAAATAAGAAGATGTGGTATGAGTGCCAATGAGACAACTCTTCATCCAAGTCACAATGTGTAAAGAGTAAACCATTATAGGTCAAAGTACGGTCTTCAACAAGCTATAAAAGGCCCTAAAATGACTATAGTGTAAAACGATTCAAACAGGAAAACCAACGGTCTAATCTATATAAAAAACGAGAAACGAAAAACACTTAAGAACCACATCAACAAACGACAACCACTGAACAACACGTTGCTGACTAAGGACAGGTGCAAACAAATGCAGCGGGTAGCTTTGATATATCAAAATATGAGAGATCACTTCTCACAAAAAAAAGAATAGATGCACATTCACTTGCAAATTGAAACTGGGAGATACAGTGAACCAAAAAACTTAAGCAATGGAAAGATTCTGTAAATCATGCGGAGATTAAGTAGAAGATGAAGTGCACTTCCTTTTATAGTGTCCCCTATATCAAAACCTTCGAGAGAAGTTTAATATTTTCCAAAATTTTATTAAAGATAATGATATCAATTCAGTAATCTATTTACTTAATCCAAATAATTTGGCTAATGCCAAACAAATATATAATTATTTGAGACAAACTTTTGAAGTTCATAATAACGCTTAGTGTCAGTGGTCTACCATAAGTTATGGAAGTACTATACACAAAAACTAGATTTGTAGTTTTATATATAGCCATTAATTTTCTCTTGTTATGTATTATGTTATATTTACATTATTTGTCATGTGTATATGTCATGTATGTTGTACACTTGGATTTCGCAATGTCATATTTATCATATGTACTTTATCCAATAAAATATTTGAAATGTATGTAACAATAAAAATAATTTTCTGCATGCATAAGTAACAAAAAACGTATTTTCTGCTTATGTAATAAAAAAAACATATTTTCTGCTTATGTAATAAAAAAAGTATTTTTTGCTTATGTCACAAAAAAGTATTTTCTGCTTATGTAACAAAAAAGTATTATTCCACTGTTTAAACATATTGATAGTTTAATCAATATTTGATTGGTTGAGACTATCCCACGTGTCATTGAACAAATCTTCATATTCCATTCTGAGGATCATATTCCCCTCTGAAATGTCGGGATTACTTCGTGCGACGTTACGCGCGGTTAATGTATATAACGTTTTGAACTTCTTATTCTTCTTAAAATAGCGATAGCAAAAATCATTATCATGTTCAAATTTATTTCAGACGATAAAACAAAAAGACTTATAATTAAATTTTGATCCTTACTGTTTATCAATGGGTATGGCGTGTTTAGTTTGACTTACAAAAACAAGCGGATAAGAAAAAAAATGTATGCAAAATAATATTTAATGTATTGATAGTAAACAAAGCATAGGCAGTGGAATAAATCATTCATTTCCCTTTGCCTCGGGAGATATGAAGATTTGCTCACCCTCGAAAAATCATATTTCCCTCGGGCAGAGCCCTCGTGAAATATGAATATTCTTGGGTGAACAAATCTTCATATCTCCCTCCGACACGGGAAATAAATGTATATTGTTCTATGGCCTAGGCATATAATGAAATAAGAGCAATCTGATCGTATTATATTTATTAACTCTTGTTTACTGGTAACATATGCTCAATAATGACTTAATTAAACTGATGTAATGTTAAAAATACAGGAAATTTGTCTATGGATTGACATTGTTAACATCTATAGGTTGTTGATTGCATCTCTGGCATTCTGTGCAGCTTCACCCAATCTATCGCCTGCCTTATCACCAAAGTTCTCTAGATGACCAACTGCATGGACAATGCCTTCTCTGGCATTCTGTGCAGCTTCAGCCAATCTATCGCCTGCATTATCACCAAAGTCCTCTAGATGACCAACTGCATGGACAATGCCTTCTCTGGCTCGGTCTGCCACTCCGTCAGCAAATTCACCAACATCGTCGGCGGCGTCACTTTAAGTATAGGGATGGGTTACATTATTCTATGACATACCACCAAAAAAAATGTTTAGTTTGATGCCTTAAAATACAAATCGAAGTTTCAGAACAAAATAATGTTGTCCGTTCAGTAGGGACAGAATGAGAAAACTATTCCAATATTTCCATTGACCTTTATTATAGTTTTGTTATAATTAACAACATGATTGTAATAATAAATTTCTGAATAATGTTTACTGTTAAAAACATTTATAGATATCGTAATTTTATGAAAACACGTTTTGAGAAACTGGAGATCGCTTTGGTACAAGATGATTTTGTATAATTTCGAAGCCTTTAAAACGCAGCAGCCAACCTTTTACATATTTGTTCCAATGCCAATTTTAAAATTAATTGTATTTTTTTTGTTGAATTTCAATTCGATGTTTATTTATGCAAATCTATTGAAAAAATGAAAACGATGGCAACCCTTCCAAAGACAACTTTCAAAGTTTCACAATAAAAAAAATGTATTTTATCCAAAATCCAAATTAATGAAGATGTTCATGCTGCTGGTAATATAGAATTTGGTATATCCGCTGAAATTCGAGAAACGAGACCTTTTACAATACACGCAGATACAACAGGTCCGTTACGTGTATTCTGAATTTTATTTTTTCCATTAACAAAACAAACTTACCTTATCTTATCTCCTACATCATTAAAGAAATTGCGAGCTCTTGACAAGAAACCCCATCTCTGAAAAAATAACAGTTAGATTGAAATAGGCGTTATAATTTCTAACCAAATCGTACAGAAATAAACCACATAACGCATGAATGCAAGTTGAACGCTTAATTCCAATGAAAGAAGTCTAGTAATAGTCGCAAGATAATTTAAACATATGCAACATGATAAAGTAAATTTTTGAACAAAATTGTTCAAACTCGATTTTGTTAACCATGCAATGGAATATTTGCCTTTTTGTGCTTGTTTTGCTTTCTATGTATGTATCTCTCTCTCTCTCTCAATATGCTTTTTGTACGCCTTCAACTACACAGACTTCCTCTCAGATGTTTATGATTGTAATGATTGAACTTTTCAATAGTATATTTGTTGCAGTTACCTTTTGTCTTTCCGCTGGTCGTCCCAGTACTAAATCTGATGCCAAAACCAGGAGAACTATTCCTAAAACAATTGTTATCTTCATTCTTCTTGTTCCTGTATGTTTTAAGAATAATAAAAGATTTTACTACACTACAGTAGCAGATCACGGTACCCTATGACTCTGTTCTGTTCTGGCATATAACAACGGGGATATCGTATAGACAAAATCGTATAGAATCCATTTTAAAACTAATAAAGACAATCGTCCTATTAATCGCTCCGATGAATACGATACGTTTGGTCTTTCTTTGAGTATGATTTTTTCAGCGGTTCAAGATACAGATTTTTAAGCTATTAACATTAAACGAAGAACAATAATGACAAACGTCAACCGACGAAAACCACTGGACTACATAATCCAGGGTTAGAAAAGAGAGGCGATAGATATCAAAGGGACATTCAACTCATAAGTCTAAAATAAACTGACAATGCCATGACAAAAAGAAAAAGAAAAACAGAAATCAGCAGTATACAAAACAAAACATAGAAAACTAAAGACTGAGTAACACGAACCCCACCAAAAACCGGGGGGTGATAACTAATAGAAAAGGCACATATATATGTGGCGGTGTCAAACGTGTTTGTTTTTTAACGTTCAACCATCCTCATAACCCGTGACAGTGATGTAACTGACCGTGGGTAACATTATGTGGGTTTGGTCCAGTTTGTCGGTATTATGGAACTGGGATACTGTACCTAATATATTCAATAATATACCAGCTGGTTTTTATTGCTGGTTTTGTTTGAATGGTTTGATTTTGATTTGTTTATTTTTTACTAATTGTTTTGAAGAATCATTGTAGGCCTGATCATTATAATCATTGTATATAAATTCAATGTAATTATTCAGCTCAGCTTTGGACTGTGATTAGCAAGAACACCCTATTCTATTCTATATATTCATTATAAACAGACAGTCAAAACCGTCGAAACTGGTCAATACTGGACAAAAAAAAAAAATGAAAACTAGACAAAGTGATGCCCCCGCACTCCACTCTGAAGTAACTGTATTATAACAAAGTCAATGTAGCAATGTAGGACTTTCGTTGAGATATTATTGTGTCTGGGAGACACAAATAATGCCCCCGTAGATGTAAAGTGTTATCTTAAAATAAACAAAGTTGAACATGGGAGAACATAGGTCTATGGTCACTGTAGGAGGAGTTATCATGGCCAGAAACGCTATGCACTTCTTATGCAAGTATATATACTCCAAAAAAGACAAAGTTCAACTATCTCCCAAAAGAGCAAATATTAATAAAAATCAAAACCCTGACCACATGCACACCTTCAATATATGTACAAACAGTTAGCAAAGTGAAAACTTCCTAGCATTCAAACTGTAGGAGGAGTTATCCGGAAACGCTATGCACCTCTTATGTAAATTAATACTCCAAAAAATGACAAAGTTCAACTATCTCCGAAAAGAGCAAATATTAATAAAAATCAAAACCCTGACTACATGCACATCTTCAATATATGTACAAAAAGCCTGCAAAGTGAAAACTTCCTAGCATTCAAACTAGGAGGAGTTACCAGGAAACCTATGCACCTCTTATGCAAGTATATACTCCAAAAAATGAAAACGTTCAACTATCTCCCAAAAGAGCAAATATCAATAAAAATCAAAACCCTGACCACATGCACACCTTCAATATATGTACAAACAGCTAGCAAAGTGAAAACTTCCTAGCATTCAAACTGTAGTAGGAGTTATCTGGACAACTATATACCCATAATGGGACGGACGGCCGAAAGGACGGAAGGATAGACGGACGGACAGGGGTAAAACAATATGCCCCCCAACTTTCAGTTGCGGGGGCATAAAAAACCACAAAGTTTCGAAGTAAAAGATACTTGCAGTTACTGAAAAATAGTTCAAGGCATAATTCCAACTTTAATAGACCATGTACTAGTGGTATATAACGGTCTTGATTTTTTCTTTCAAAAACGAAATTATTAAGGTAATGTGAAATTCGCACTTGTCACAATAATCAGTTAAATTTCAGATATATATTATAGTATAACAAGAATATTATGTTGTTGTATATGCCGCTTACAAACACGTACGGTATTCAAAATATCGTAATCATATAACTTTTGATTTTCTTCATAAGCTATATGCTCGTTTATAAACCTGAAAATGATCGACATTATATAACTTAAAAAGGATTTAAGATGTAACATAGTAAACTGCGCCAAATTTCAGTGAACAAAAATGTCGCTGTCTATAACAAATCCGTTGATTGACTGTCTTCGAGTGTCGAAACCACCAACTTGTTGTGGATAAAGTTACCCGGTACATGCGTCAATTACAAAGTAACAAAATGACATAGCAAATCAGAAAAAAAAACTAAAATATATCATTGAATAAAAAGACGACGTCGGAGATGTGTAAATGAGACAACAACCCAACAGCACAAAAAAAGCAAAGACATCGAAAGACTACAGACAAGTGTCGATACAATATATGCTAAGTTCTATGTCCGGCATGAATTTAATTGAGACTCTCTGTCATTAATACCAAATTCTTGTAAGGACAAAAAACCATTAGATATAAGTTTTTCATATAATCATATAAGTAAAATTATTTATGAATACTTTTAAATCTGAAAATTGCATCTAAACAAATAACTTCAATAAGTGATACTTACCGTCAAATACGTTTCCAAATATTAAGTATCAAAATGATGTCAGTGACTCTTTATATTTATATTGGTACTCGTGATTAAGTGGACATTCTTCCGTTTTTGTGTCATTTTATGCGGCATAAACACTTTATAAAGTTCAGCTGTATCTCCCTAACAAAATATTTACCATCCAATTAGTACGTAGGCTACTTATGATTATTATATTACAACATAAGTGATTATAAGTCATGAACGTCACTAATTGTGTTTTGATATACTCTAAGGTTTTATTTACAACAATACTAGAGTCGGTACGATTTAGAGATTTTAATCTTTAAAAGTCGTGAATAAATTAAGCAGAAACATATATCCAAATATCAAAACACATAAGGATATGACTAATAAAATACTTGGTGATGAGAAACCATACTGTCCGACGCTCTAATATCGGTTGCTGTACTTCGTAGAAGCGAATAGCTCCCTTGGGCATACTGAATGTTTTTACCTCTTGTATATATTTTACGTGTTATGTTTTATGTTTGTATATATTTTGATCGAACCCATTATGATTGATGTATGTACACGGTGATGGGTTGGCCATGATTTTCAAAAAGATGGGAGGGGCCACCGAAAAAAAATAGGGAAGTGAAGTGATAGTACTAAAAACAACACCATATGTGGGCTCTGCACCAATACTTTACAGAATGATTTTGCTACAGAGTTGAAAAATGATCTTTCAAAAATAGGATTCAATCATGTATTTGAAAATCAAAATACATTCTAAAATGCTGTAGGGAATAAATTAGCTGAAAGATGTATAGATTTCTGGAAAAATAGTCTTAAACTCTTTTAATGACCAAAATGTATAAACCTTATGGAAACAAACTAAGAACGTACAGAAAACTAAAAATTTATTACAAATTAGACTTTATTTTCATTGATATGTGTGGACCGTTACAGGATGGCTAATTTGATTAAATAAAATTAAGTAATAGTAATTTAAATATTGAATTGGAAAGGCACCGTAAATTATTCTTTGAAAACAGATTATGTCCCCGCAGTTATTTTTTTTAAAGAAAAACTCAGGCAACAACCTTTCTAAGAAGTAGAAAGTTAGGTCCCACCTTTCAACAAAAATTACATTTATGTTTACATTTAACGAGTATGACAAACTATGTTATTGTTAAGGGGGTTAATGATTCATATGTACCTAGAAATAACTTAGTTGACAAGAAAATCTAGAATTCTGTTATATAAATTTATGATTATTTTTATTTAGATATAGGAAGATGTGGTATGAGTGCCAATGAGACAACTCTCCATCCAAGTTACAATTTATAAAAGTAAACCATTATAGGTCAAGGTACGGCCTTCAATACGGAGCATTGGCTCACACCGAACAGCAAGCTATAAAGGGCCCCAAAAAATTACTAGTGTAAAACCATTCAAACGGAAGAACCAACGGTCTAATCTATACAAAAACGAGAAACGAGAAACACGCATGAACCACATAAACAGACGACAACTACTGTAATCAGATTCCTGACTTAGGACAGGTGCAAACATTTGCAGCGGGATTAAACGTTTTAATGGTACCAAACCTTCTCCTTTTTCTAAAACAATAGTATAACATCACAACATAGAAAAACACACATATATTTGTGTTGTTATTATCGTAACAATCTCATTAAGAATATCGTACTTTTATTTCAAATTCAAAATAGTATCATCTCCTCCAAAATATCTAAATATATGATATACTTATATAATATCAGAAGTCCATTACTAGATTACTAGAGCCCTAGTAATGGACTACTGATAATAAGAATGTTTGTTAACTTCGAATTATGTATGTTTGTAAATATTGTCATTTGTATGTCTTGGTAATAATTTAGTATTTGGATTTTACACCAATAAATAACTTGATTAATATGATTCCAGCTGGGACTAGTAGACTCAATATATTATGTCACAGATTCCAGTAAAATCATTGCATCATTCGGAGACTAATATAACTATGTGTTATAGTAGTCTCAGTATCATAATATAATAATTTGCTTCGCCATGCTTGTATTGTGCTTACTTTTATGTGTGCTTCTCTATTTTTAGTTTGCCACGAAAGGGAGGCGGGCCGCCCCCACCCCCCATGGATCCGCCTATGTAGTTTTGTAACTATACCGAATCTAAATAAAACTTTTGTATTCGTATATCAAAACTGAGAGTTACACTTCTTCTTCTTCTTCTTCCGAATACGGGAGTAGACTCCTAGGTAGGAGTGTAAAACTTCCCGGAACTTGTGTGCTATGTACATATGGACTTAATTAAAATTAATATAATAAAGAAAAATAGTTACAATAACATATATACATTATGTACAGTGGCTTGGTAGTTTAACAAGTTGTTGTGGGTCCTTCAAATGCTAGAGTGGATATGCCACTTTTGAAGGATTCCAGGGTGTCAGACATGCCTATTGCTTCAGGTAGTGAATTCCAATCAGAAATAGTGTGAGGGTAGAATGAAAATTTGTAGAAATCTTTATTTGGTTGCTATTTGCCTAAATTTATGTTTCCCACTAATACGTCTATCAGATTTTGTTAAATTGTCCTTTGGAACTTCAACTAACACCCAATTAATTATATATATAGCATAGTTACTCTAGCCTTTTTTTCTTCTAATTTGTAAACTTTCCCATTCCAAAGAATTTATCAAGTTGGAGACTGCTCCAGGTGTTCTGTCTTTATAATCGCTATAGACAAATCTGGCTGCCTTACGCTGTATCTGCTCAACCTGAGTGATGTGTTGCTTTTTGTATGGATCCCAGACAGGGGGGGAGGGTATTCGACTATTCGACGACTGGACGGACAAGTGATGTGTACGTTAGGTTTTTAACCTTACGTGAGCAGTTTTTTAAGTTTCTACGAAGAAAACCTAAGATTTTATTTGCCTTACAGGTAATATTGTTTATGTGTGTTCCCCAGTCAAGATCATGGCTTATAGTTACGCCTAAATATTTACTATCTTTTACTGATTCTAAAACATGATTGTGCAATGTATAATCAAAAGGGATAAATTTTTTAAAGATATGTATTACGTAACATTTTTCAGGATTAAAATTCATTTGCCAGTCCTCTTCCCATTGTACTAAACTAGATAAATCTTTTTGAAGTAATTGTGCATCAGAATTATTATTTACATTTCTATACAATAAGCAGTCATCTGCAAAAAGTCTTGCATTGCAAGTTACATGTTCTGGTAAGTCATTAATAAATAGCAAAAATAATGTTGGCCCTAATACTGTTCCCTGAGGGACACCAGAGTCAACAGCTAATTTAGAACACTGCGATATATATAGTCTCAGATCAAAACTAAACTGTGATAAACGCTTTATTAAACTGATTAAAACATTCTGATAATCTTGTGTCCATGCATAGCTTACAATATCAGTATTTTTAATATTCAGATAACATCAAAAGACGATTTATTTATAAACAAAGACGGTAATTATGGGTTTACTTACACTAAAGACCTGAACGTGGACCTGAAAAGACCTGAATAGACCTGAAGATATAAGACTCGGGGCGTGTTTTTTTGTTCTTCGGTAGTGAGCCAGAAGAGGTCCATTTCTGTTTTTTTTGCATAGGGAAGAACTTCTGGCTCTCTTCCGCCTCTTCTTTTTTGATAGGTAGTTTAGACAATATTAGTACAATATAAGAACAACCTGCACAAATCAATTGCAATTAGATTAACTCAAAAGATCGGTACGAGACACACACAAAAAACTTACATTAAGACAATAGACACAAAGCACCGAAATCAGAGTATTTGCAATTACTGGAAGTTTGTTCAAAGCTAATTACAACTTATAGTACTGAAATAAATCTTGCTCTCCAAGACTGAAGTATCAATCAGTACACAACCAACGGATTTATTATAAAAAAGAAGAAGAAAAAACAGTCTGAGAAATGTCTGGTAAACATTGTATACTTGCATATAGATCCATATACAATGAAAATTTTTGAAAAGTGGTGGTCCGAAGGTTTTGACCATCGAAATTATGCAATAGAAATAATAGTTAGGACCAGAAGATTTTCTTCAAGGACCACCAGAGAAAAATGATTTTGAGAACTTTTCGATATCTTAGCTTTATACAAAAATAATCCAGTCTGGTTACTTTAAAAAAAATGGATAGACAATATGTCCTTTTTGATCATATTCGAGACAAACATTGACGAATGTTTGTGCAGTTTAAGATTATTCTTAAAAATCAAATAGAGGGGGTTTACGCCTGATTTGTCTAGCAAAATTGAGTTAGAGGAAAGAACAAAGAAAAATGTCACGAACAGAGCACACATTTACAGTCATGTCTACCGGACGTATCTTAATTTTCTATAAAATCATCGTAAACTTCATTTAATATGTCATTCAACATAACAAAAATCTGCTATATTCGACGGCAAACTGATTTTTTGTTTTATTGATCTTCCGTAGAATATCTCCAGAAGAGGTCCAGATTCATGTTTTTGGACTCTTCACCAGAAGACATTCTGGAGATGTGCAGAAAAGACCAATAAAACACGCCCTCGGTTTATTCAAATTACAATAACTTTTTTTATTTTGCAATGGATTTTCTTCAAGTTAGAATTTTATTAAAGGTAAAGATCCAAATTTTATTAGAATTAGAATGTTTCAAATAAAAAACAAAATTTTGATGCCAAAACCTGGACCTGAACGGAGAAATGAAAAGACCTGAACGGACCTTAAAATCTATGGTCGGACTTATTCAAACTTCAACAACTTTTTAAATGGAATTCCTTCAACTTTAGATTTTGTAAAATAAACTTAACATTTTGTTAAAATTAAAAACTAAATAATGAAAAATGTGTTTTTGGTGCCAAAACTCGGACCCGAACGGAGAATTAGAAACCTGAATGGACCTGAAATTCCTTGAAATCTAGATTCAAAACGAAAAATAAAAATATTAATGAAAAAAAGTATTTTGGTGACAAGTCTCGGACCTGAACTGAGAATTAAAAGACATAAACCTGAAATTACATCCTTGAAGGCCGTACGGTGTAGCTGTAGTAACTGTTGTTAAACTTCTATGCCATTTGCTCTCTTGTGGAGAGTTGTCTCATTGGG